ATTGGAAATTATGCAGCACAAAAAAAATTAATGAAAATGCAAATGAAAAATATTTTATTGACTCAGATAGATGGATTTGTAGTTGTCCATCTTTTCTTTATAGTCGATTTTTAATTTGTAAACACTTAATTCATAAGGTTAATGGCGCATCAAAAAGGTTACTATATGAAGAATTCTATCGTAATCGTGAATATCCTTTTTGGCAATTTGAAAATAATGAAAATTTGCAAGAACCTGTTTTATCTAATAGTAACATGCTATTAGAAAAAACATTATTTGAAACAAGCGAGTATGATGAAGATAAAACTATAGAGTTGTCTCCGGAAGAATTTACTAAAGAAATTGAAAAACATAAATATTTTCTTCAACATTTACAAGAAGAATATGATGCAGGTAATTTGCAACATGTGAAGGCTTTGCTTAAAGGTTCAAAACGAGTACGTGAAATGATGGATGATATTGATTGTGCCTAAAAAAAACGAACTAGAAGAACATATAAAGATTCAAAAGTGCATACGATGTTTTTGAGATAAATATTTAGACGGTAATATTTGAATATTAATTTTTTTTTAAAGCTTATTTGAAAATTTGTAATACATAATAATTAAAGTCTAATACAATAACCTTATTTATGATTTTTATTATAGTTTAATTTAGCGACTTTAAATCTTTGGCATGTAAATTTGGTTAAAAATTATTTTGACTTTATAATATTCAAAGATTTTTATTTTCAAATTCTTTTTGTGTTAACTTTTTAGATAGACAAAGAGCATTTATTCATTAAAGTTTTTCAATTTCATGAATATATATATGTTTATGTTGTGCTAATGAATAAATAAAAAAATTACTAATTTAGTGCGCTTGAAATTATAGTCAAGTTCATGAATATTACTATTGTCATTTATCTGAATTAATTTTGTGTTGAGTATAAAAAAGTATATCATATCTTATTGATTTTAATTTCTTCATGTTAAAATATAACGTCAGATATATAATTTTTTAATATTATTCAAATAAATTCTCAAACTTTTAAAAATCCAAATAATTTACAAATAGATGATGAAAATTTTGGAATAAATAAAGAATTACAACCAATTCTATTATTTCTCATGTTTTTGCCCTCTTATGTCAAATTTTCATCTTTACAAATAATTTGAATCTAACCAGAATTAAGAAAAGGTATCATATTATAGGTAAATATAAAGAATCAATTAGACTTAACTAATCATTAGAATGTAACTAAACAATGTATATATGCTGAGAAATTGGAGAGTTCCTATTGTAGGATAAAAAGATATGAAGAATCGCTTATAGATTTAAATCATTAGAAGTTTAACTGGTTAATGCATTTACTTTAAGAAGTTGCAGGGACACTTGTAATGAACAGTAAACAATTATTAAAAATTAAACCGAATGATGAAAATACATTAGCAGATTGTAGAACATTTATAATGCAGGTACGAAGGATCACCTTAAATAATTAGAAATTATACCTGATATATTTATGTTGAAAGATCATGAAGACACTTATCATTGAATCATTAGAAATCAAACTGAAAATGCAGATGCATTAAAATGTCATATGGGTAGACATGAAGAGTTACTTGAAATTAAATTTGGTGATGTATCTATATTGAAGGATCGTGAAGACGCTTATCAAAAATTTCATTTTAGGATAATAAATAAAATTTGAAAGAATTTTTTTTGATAGTTTAGATAAATGATAAAGTTTAGCAAGCTAGTTAGATAGTATACAAATAAATTTAAATGGATTTGGAAATATATGACTTATTCAAATCAGACCTTTATAGTTCATTCTACATTTTTGTAAAATTTTTATTAAAGTATTATCGCGGATATTTTATTTTACTGTTTTTTTTTATATTAAGGCCACATAAAATTCTAAATTTTTTTATTTTATTTTAATTCTATGGATTCATAGAATTAAAATAAAAAAAATTTCCATCGATTTTAGATAGGTAATTATCGAGATATCATCAGTCAAAGTTTGGAAGAAGCTTAGCCACGGCCTTTTACTTCTATAGCTCCATAGAGCTAAAATAAAAAAATTCCCATCGATTTTAGATAGGTAATTATCGAGATATTATCGGTCAAAGTTTGGAGAAAACTTCACGGTCTTTGATTGATAATTATAGATTTTTTTTTGAAATTTGAGCGATGATATCTCGATAACTACCTATTTAAAATCGATAAAAAAAAATTTATTTTACTTCTATAGCTCCATAGAGCTAAAATAAAAAAATTCTCATCGATTTTAGATAGGTAATTATCGAGATATCATCGGTCAAGGTTTGGAGGAAACTTAGCCATGGTCTTTGATTGATAATCATAGAATTTTTTTGAACTTTGAGCGATAATACCTCGATAACTACCTATTTAAAATCGATAAAAAAAAAATTTTATTTTACTTCTATAGCTCCATAGAGTTAATATAAAAAAATTCCCATCGATTTTAGATAGGTAATTATCGAGATATCATAGGTCAAAGTTTGGAGAAAACTTAGCCGCGGTCTTTGATTTGATAATCATCCAAATTTTTAAACTTTGAGCGATGATATCTCAATAACTACCTATTTAAATCGATAAGAAAACTTTTTATTTTAATTCAATAGATCTATAGAGTTAAAATAAAAAAAATTCCATCGATTTTAGATAGGTAGTTATCGAGAAATCACCGTTCAAAGTTTGAGAAAACTTAGTCACAGTCTTTGTTTTAATCATCGCACATGTTTTTTTTTAAACTTTAAGTGATAATATTTCGATAACTACCAATCTAAAATTTGTGAAAATTTTTTTATTTTAATTCTATGAATCCATAAAACTAAATTAAAAAAATATACATAAATATTAGATAAGTCGTTACAAAGATATTTTCTCTCAAATTTTGAAAAAATATATAATTTCATATAGTCAGGAGAAATAAATCGGAAAGATTCGGATAAATGGCCCAATCAAATTTCGTGTAACCAGGAGAATTTTGGGGTCGCCGTATCATAGGAAGACATTTATATGATTGGTTAATTTTTGTAGATCTACCCGTGATCTCCCGTGATAATTAACCAATCAAATACATAAT